ATTTACGTCAATTTTGAGACTAAAGAGAAATTATGGAGGGGGGTACTGTCCCCCTCTTTAAGGGGTCATTTTTGGGCCTTGGATGGTCCGATTTTGGATTTTTAGGGGTCAGTTCCACGTGAAATTTTTCGTGCTTTTCAATTCTGATACGATCCATCCGCAATTCGGTCGGGAACCGTGACTTTTAGCATCGTGACCCCCCCTTTACCACCCAAGGGGGGTGGGGGGGGGGTTTCGGGACTACGAAATTCGGATTCCTTGGGGTCAATTCCCTATTCAACCCCGCGGTCTCCGACTTCGTACGACCTATACCAACCGAGAAAAAGGCCTGGTACGGGTGGTCTGAAACACCCTGTAGGTCAACAAGCTAAGTCAAGTAAGTCAGCTACTCCTTTATTTTTCTCAGGTTATTTGAGGTTTTAAATCAATTTGAGGAGTCTGCATCCTTGAATGAGCATCGGGTTAGGAATAGTGCATATCTACGTTTCAACCTTTCAAATTTTCAGGGATTAAGGCTGAGAGGAATCTGTTTCCGCAGATCTGCAGTTTTTTTTCCAGTGTGCTAGTAGAGGATGGGAAAACTTGCGGACCGATTGCAAGATGCAAAATGATCATTTATCCACCCAGGACCTCTTCTCAGAAGAAGGATGAAATCTCTTTCCATAGTTCTCGCTCAGAAAGTGCAGGCAAATCAACAAGCCTGGCCAAAAGATCGACCAAGTCCCCAATTCTCTCATGTAGAAGCAACTACAAATGGTATGAAGGTGATTTTCAGAAGGGAATAGAGTATGAATTATGTTCACAATAAAATTTGGTTGCTTCACCAGACGGTGGATCGATCTCAAAATAAAGATCGACGTCATGTCTACAGTCGCGTACTCGATGTTACGGCGAGGTTCCAGGATGCTTATCGAGTCTACTTTGAATTGGACCGAGTTAAGCAGAAAGGAACCAACACACATTTTGGAAAAAAATGAGTTTTGAGTGGTTTTGAACTCAACCACTGCTCTACTATCTATCGCCAAAAATTCATAGTTTTTGTTGGATCAAATTTTGCAGAAATTGAACTTAAAGTTTATCTTTTACATTGAGTCTTATGCAGGAGCCAAACTTTAAACCTCTTTTTGTCGGTTCGATCCCGATGTGGCTTGGTTCCTTTCTGTTCAACTCCGTCCAATTGACATGCTCCCTCAATGAACTGAATGTCGAGGTTGGATATGGTCGCTGAAAGAAGGACTGTTTGGATCCTTTCGGGCTCGCGTAACTAGCGATGTGCTTTAAGAAGACGGGGTCGAAACTCGACGCCCCGCGTTGGTATTGAGTGAGCTTCATCGTAGATTATAGTTATTGATTCACGCCGGGTGTTGCAGAAGTTATGAAAATCTATAAATTTTACAATTTCTCCCCTGCTGTGAAGAAAAATATTGACCGGCCCCCCTCAAGGATTCTGTCAGAATTAGCTACAATAATCGGGGTCATTTCGGTGTCGCGAAGGTCAATACGCACGCAACTGCTTCTCTCAATTTTAGGAAGATGTCCATAAGCAAAGCAACAAGGGGTAAGGCAACTACGATAATTCCTTTGCGGAGCACAAACGGAACCACGAAAGTTGCTGTCTCGCCGAATCCGGTGGGGAAACGAACGCAAACGTTTTGTCTATGATAAATAATCTGCATTGCCACCTACTGCTCATACTTTAGGCTAGGCAAATATACTTTGTATACTTATGAATTTACGAAAAGGAGGGGGATCTGCAAGAAGGAGAAAACCTTATTCTGTTATTTTTATTTTATGATGATTGGCAAATTTTTAATAAAATCTTCAAAACACCTCAATTATATTAGTTAAAAGTGATCTACAAGAACAACTTTTAAAATATAAAGTACAGACAGAGGGAGTGAGTGGAATTCATCAAGCACAAGACTGAGTTTCACTTGTTATGAGATTGGAATCTACTTATCGTCAATGATGGCGATGTGAGAGCGATAAAGTCAATAAATAGGTAAGTAGGTGCAACTTGCCAATTTTTTTACCGTTCTGCCTTGACCTTACTGAACGATAATAAATAAATTAGTAACAGGAGGTAAAGAATTCGACGTAGTTGTTCACACATTTTTAATTATTCAGGTACCTAATTGAACAATTAATCAAACAAATCTTCTTAGGTTATGCTCTTTATTTTGAAAACGGGGTTTTCGAAAATCAATGCCATGTATCATTGAATTTTGAATGCCTCAAAAGTAATCTTCATAGAGTTTCCACTCCTCCGGTATCTTCTCGGAAAAAAAATATTTTCAGAAAGAACTGATAATTCCTGCGAATTGTGAAACCTTCAGTCTTTTAAAGACGGGCATTCTCTGTTCGATGTAGTTGCCTGCAAATAGGTTCCAGCCGCCATTTTGGCCGCCATATACGTTTTTGGGGGCCTTCCGGTCGAGATGGGGGGGTCCTTCAATGCTTATCTCTTTCCCCAGGGACCAAAATGAAGAGATTTAGCCATGGAGATAAATTAGATCACCAACATGCCCATAGGACCTGTTTTTCAAACACATCCCCGTGGACTTTAATGCCTGAGTATCGCACGGACGAGTTATTTGTTTCGCGTTTCGATTTTAACATTATGAAGGATAGGAAATGAAGAAAAATCCTATGAAGAACTCTTGAAGTGAGTCTGAAACAAGAGTCTGATGGGTTATTTTAAATGAATATGTGACACTCACTATATTTATTTAAATAATGTATTTTTTTTTTGGGTCAGAAATTAATATTTTCTCTCATAAGCATTTTGGACAATATATTTGCTTCGAGGATGTTCCGCTCTTAAGTACGAAAGGACATTTGCAATTCGGATCCATGATTAGAATCAAAGCATTTGCTCGCTGTTGTGCGAAAAGAATCCCTCGAATGGACTTGAACCTCCAAGTTCATGGGACGTGTGTTCGAGAAATAGAAAAAAATGAAACAATGAAAAGTATCAATTTTTCATTTAATTGCCAACAATCAAGGTTTGCTTTCCACATCAATAATTATAAACGCATTTATATTTACAAACATACAATTTAAAAATCTAGCAGATTTAATGATCATTTACAAACAATTGACTCGTTAATTATCTACTTATAAATTATTAACAATTTGTACACTTACTGAAACTAAATTACAACTTCTTTGGTTTTGTTTTTCTTACACGGATCTTTATTTAAATCATCGGTTGAAGATGTAGAGGATCCGTAAGTGTAATAATGTTTAGTTTGTTGCATCCTATCCTACCTTCACTGTCTATTACACTCACAAAGTAACACGTGGTTCTCTTTCTAAGTCGGATAGAAATCACCCCAAGTTACATCATTCGACTTAATCATGAGAGTATAGACATTTTTGTGTCTGCCTTTCAGCTTAGTCAGTTAACACAGTTTACTCACAGAAATTCAACGCTTTTTGATTGAAGTCGCGAAAACCAAGGTTCTTTTTTAGTCGGATTTTAAATACTTAGTAATCTGATGAAGAACTTGTGAAGAAATTGGCGATCAAAGCAGTTCCTGCAGTGATGTTATGAAAATATAAACAAGTTTAGCCTTACCGTGCACTTTTTAAGTATACATGTATTAATTAATTTGCATCAGACGCCTTCTTGGCAGAGCCCATCATCAGTGGTGATATTACATATCAACGACAAAAGACTAAATTTGTCTTTACTTTCATAATTTTTTACGCCTTGATATTTGCAAAAATGGTCTATCTTCTTTATATTGCCGCCGTAATTTTTATTAGGAATGAGTCGCAGCAAAGTTTGGACCTTTATCGGCGCTGATCATAGCGCCTGCTTTTCTTACGGGTGAAGAGCGCGTGAGGCGCAATACCTCTAATCGTACAGCTTGACGCTTGTGTTGCCTACCCAACAGTTTGAAGGCGATTTTTAAACCGCTACAGATATCTCTCCGAATTATAATGGCTCGCGAAGTTCCCCAACACTCGGGTTTCATTGGTTTTACTAAAACTTCGAGCCAGGATTTAGGAATGTTATCATGTTGTAGGATGGAGTGAAACGCGGAGAACAATTTTATCTCAATTCCCTTTCATTCTCCCTCTCATTTTATGGTCGAATTTATCAAGGTGCTACACTGAGAAAAAACTATGGCTTATAAACCTATTAGAGGTAAATATGGAACACCACTAATAGTAGTACCTCTACATATAGTCCAGGCGCCTGGTAAGTCTACCTGGAATTTTGGGTACACAGCGATTTTTTTGGCCTACTTTATGTTTTTTGGGTCGCTGAATCCGAATCTGAAGTTTCCGCACGCGTATCTGGTGAGCATTTTCCGCTATTTTGAAAAAATGGCCTAAAAAGGCCTTTTTTTGCGGTTTTTTTGATATAGCGGCTACGGATGAGGAAAAGTCCCGGATTTAGCTAATGTTTTGAATAGCTGACATAATTTGGAAGAAAATGGTGTATACATATGTTAGGTTTGCTTAAAAATTGAGGAAGATACAGCATCGTGAACATCGCGCCTATTCACGTTTTCGCGGCGCACCCGTCAACGCGCGATCCGGCTCGCCGCGGTCAGCCAAGTTCCAAAGCGTTCTAAAGATCCGAAATCCGAGGTTCCTCAATTTTTGAGCAAACCTAGCATATTCATATACCATTTTCTTCTAAATTTTGTCAGCTATTCAAAACATTAGCTAAATCCGGGACTTTTCCTCATCCGTAGCCGCTATATCAAAAAAACCGCAAAAAAAGGCCTTTTTAGGCCATTTTTTCAAAATAGCGGAAAATGCTCACCAGATACGCGTGCGGAAACTTCAGATTCGGATTCAGCGACCCAAAAAACATAAAGTAAGCCAAAAAAATCGCTGTGTACCCAAAATTCCAGGTAGCCTCATTTTTAGCTACCAGGCGCCTGGACTAATATAATAATAGCACATATACCTTAGTTATGGTACGGGGTACCTTAATTAGGTACAGAGACCTTAGTATGGTTCACAGACCGAGAATCATTAGTTTATTTACGACTATTATAGGTGTTCCATATTTACCTCTAATAGGTTTATAAACCATAGTTTTTTCTCAGTGTATAAGATCAAATTAAGCCTATCGTGAAATTAAAGGCATTGAGAAATTCGGATCGTACCTTAATTAGTGATTTTACCATTCTCCCATTGATTTTTTCCATTCCAAATGGGGGGGGGGGGTGGTTCTCGAAGAAAATTTTACAAAACCCATGAAACCACCTCAAAATTTCGTGTAAACAGAGTCATACGCTACTGAAATTTCCAAATTCCTCTTATTCACCCGGTCCACTGTGCGTCGTTTACGAGATGCGCATGTTTCGAATCCCATAGCATTATTATTCGACTTCTTTACCCTGTGAACTCTTCGTGGTGACAGGCATTCACTTTTTAATGGCTGGTCGCCAGGTCTCCGTTTTGTGGTACTTGCAAAGAAGGACCTTCTTGAAAGTTTGCCGGAAGACTTTGTTGAAGATGGTGTAGAATATGGGGTTGACCATGGAGCTGGCGTAGCCGAGCCACGTGACCAGATCGAAGACGCCTTTGTTTATGTTGCGCTCGCATTCGGAGCACACGGAGGGCACCAAGTTGAGGACGAAGAACGGCGCCCAGAGGATCACGAACGTGAAGAAGACCACGCCCAACACCTTCAACACGGGAAAAGAAAATATGAAAATCGTTAGAATCTCATTGCGAAGCTTTTTACTTAGAGTACCTGTATAGAGTATGGACGGATGTGAAACTTCGAAAATCCATCAGGCCTTCACCGATGCTTCTGCGAATAAAGTTAGGGCCCAGAAATGCAACCAACCTATGAATTGCAATCATCCAGAACGATTTACTAATACTATTGTTACGAACCGTCGTTTATAAAGCACGTATTTGACTCAGTTTTTGCATAAATTTTCTCATTCTAGCGGATGAACGCACATTTCTGTACATTCTCGGCCATCCTGGTTAGAATTAGTATCTGCAGATTCTGCAGACTGGCAGTGAAATTTTGTGTGTTAGAAGTTGGTTAGAAGGGTGGCTGCACTTTCGGGCCCTAAGACCTCCATGAAGTTATCTGTCCATACTCTCGCTATGCAGGTACTCTATTTTCACCCATTCATATCGGAAAATGTTTTACAGACTTAGAATCTTGTGTATCAGCTGAGAAAAACTCTCTTCCAGCAATAGCGCAGGATACCACACAGTGCGTGAATTAATTGAGGGGCTTGGAGGAGAAGACGCAAAAGTGCAGTTTTTCCTATTTCAAGAAATACGTGTTTAAAGTTTCAAAATTACATGCAGCCTTACAGCAGAAAGGAAGTTTGAACTCACTTTTTGATTCTGCTTTGAATTGTGAATTTTTCATAGAATATACATTTAAGCTAGTTTTAGTTGAGACCATGAATATCTCAAATTTCTTAAAAAAACTCAACTTATGCGCCCTATCCTCCGGGCCCCTCGATTGCGTAATGAATAATTGTTAAAAACTCCTTCGTAAATTGTGAAAATCAAAGTAAAGCTCGAATCTGTTGGCGAGACAAGATTTCAGTCTGGAGTGCACTAGAAAAAAAAAGACACATTGGATCTAGAGTCCAGACTCTTGAAAACATTGACAAGAAAATGGACTCTTGATTCAATCAGATTTAAGCTTAAATCCCAAGGAAATCCGCTTAAATTAAGAGGCTTGGTTCTTGATTTTAGCAAAATCCGATTGAATCAAGAGTATTTTTTCTTGTCGATGTTTTTAAGAGTATGGACTCGAGAGCCAATGTGTTTTTTTTTCAAAGTGCGGTGGTGAAGATATCTTCACTTATCAGCAGTCTGGCAGGCCCAGTCCCAGTCTTTGTTGAACCGCCCTCGTAGTTCCATTTAGCATAAACACGTCCGATTCATATTTCAGATATCTGCAAAATCACCATTGAATACCTTGGTGGCCTTCTGTTCGAGGCGGATGATTCGTCCGTGTCGGGAGGAGTTTCGCGTCATGAGCGAGGAGTTGCGGGAGTGGTGGTTCCGGACGGCGGCGCCGCTGCCGAGCGTGGAGCCGCTGCGGAAGAGCTGCGCCGAGGAGTTGTGGCTCATCTTGGTCAGGAGGAGGCTCTTCTCCTTGGTGGAGGCGTTGCGCATGGTGGCCGCCCGTCGGAGGATCGGCTTGTGGTGTCCGCCTCCGCCGCCGCCGACCAGCCCCGTCTTGGCCTCGCCTTGCTGCCCTCGCCAACTCCACCGGACCACCGTCTGGCTGTGCAGCGCCGGGCTCTCCGTCGCCGCCCGGTTCTCGCCGATGTACGGGCACCTGGGATCAAATATCACACATTTTTCATGGATGCTACACTGGGAAAAAACAAATTTGATCTAGAGTCCAGACTCTTGAAAACATTGTCAAGAAAAAATACTCTTGATTCTACCAGATTTAAGCTTAAATCAAAAGGAGATCCGCTCAAATTAAGAGGCTTGGTTCTTGATCCAAGCTAAATTCTGATTGAATCAAGAGTACTTTTTCTTGTCGATGTTTTTAAGAGTCTGGACCTAGATCCAATGTGTTTTTTTTTCCAGTGCTAGATAAGACCAATCTACACAGGCCGGTCATTGCGCATCTTTTTAAAACCCACTCCCTCGCCCGGCCATAACTCAGCGGCACTCAATGTTACGTTACTTTGGGTCCTCCTACAAGAAATGCATTGTAAGCACTCAATTCTACGCCACTGCGCAGTAGAGCTCCAAAAAAAATCGTCCTCTGGAATGACTGACCTGTGTAGATTGGTCTTGCCACTAGACAAGGTGCGAATTCAAGCCAAAAAGAAAACGCAAGCCGCAGTGGCACCCTCTTCTTTTACGAGTCGTCTTTCATTGGCCAATCCGCTTGCGGGCTGATTGTCGAAATTGATAGACACAGTGATCGACTAGGAAGTATGGAACGATCCTATTGGTTGAAATGTTTGTTTTTTATAGACTAGGGGAGAAAATGATAGACTAACGATAGGGTCTCTCGTGGGTTGCCGTTAGTTAGCCTTATTATCTACGCGCTACCAGGTTTGAGAAATAGTCCGTATGTGCAGGCGTCGATATTTGATTTCATTCACGGCAGGCGTGACGAGATAACTATTCGACCACGGGTGTAGGCATATTGCCGCTAGCTGGATAGAAGACGCGTCATACTGCAAAGATGACTTCACCGTTTTTCCTTCCCTGGCTCGATTTAAAATATATCTTTCATACTGGTGTTTCGTGTTTTTTTTTTTCTCTTAAATTAAAGTATAGCTTTATTTTAAAAACATTTACATTTTTAAAACGTGGCAAATATTTGTAAAACCTTTTCAAAGCGATAGCTTTTGAACCGAGATTAATCTCTATGAGCCGTAAATGTGTTGAAAGAAACTGTACAAAAACGAATGAAAGATAAAAAAAAGAAAGAATCAAGCAATCTTTGGTTTTAACCCATTTGCACATGGACCTTTTAGAGTCAAATACGTCCAATTTTGAGCGTTAGGTTGTGCATTAACCACGCTGCAGCAAAGTCAAAGCACAAAATATAAAATAAAGAATTAAAGTACTTTGGAAATTATTAAATTTGATACGAAGCCACCTTAGCATTTACGAAACTCTCATCATATTTGCCTTTAGTATACATTTTTTCCCCATTACTTTAATTGAGAATAATCCATGCAGAGTGTGCAAACATTTTAAATTCATGAGTTGAATAACGTCGACTCCGCAAGTTTAAATATTAGAGCCAAACAGAGCGGAGCGGCATGGCACGCGACGTGCTGCCACTGTGACACGCGCATTGGCGCCTACAAACCTAACAGGGATACTTCACGCATTGCGTAATGCGTGAAGTATCCCTGTTAGGTTTGTAGGCGCCCATGCGCGAGTTACGCTGGTCGCCTAGTCTAATGGCTCTATGACGGCCTGCCAACTTTTGATTATGCGGAAACCAGTACGCAACTTCGCCATTTTGCATTTGATGAGTTCATTTGATCGTGGAGCACGGGCCGTATGTTACCTTATTTTTTTTCAAATTGAATAAAGTTTTCTGTATACATGCTAGGGCTGTCGATTTCTCCAAACAAATCGATTTCATTTTCCACGAAAAATCGATTTAATTCTAAAATTTGATGGAAAAAATAGATTTTTTCGAAATCGATTTTAAAACACTTAAATATGCAAGTTCGGCGCCAGAAAAATTACATATCACAGAACCTAGTCCTCATGTGACATATCAACACGTCGGAAAAGTCGATTTTTTTTTAATAATTCGATTTCGGCTTGAAAGATCGTTTTTGATTTTTAATCGATCTGGAAAAATCGAGTCGATTTAATCGATTCTAATACTACTTCTTCCAATAAGTCGCCCTTATAGCGCTTCTGTGCGCTGTGCTACACCCAACCGCCACTGACAGCGATCTTCCCAGAACTCTTCCGGCCGATCGTATCTCCTCATTTCCTGCCATTTTCTTTCAATCCACAATCTAATCGATTCTTGAGCGCAACGAATCTATTAAAAATCGCAATCCCTACACTGGAAATAAAAACACATTGGATCTAGAGTCCAGACTCTTCAAAACATCGACAAGAAAAAGTACTCTTGATCCAATCAGATTTAAGCTTAAATCAAGAACCTAGCCTCTTAATTTGAGCGGATTTCCTTTTGATTTAAGCTTTAACCTGATAGAATCAAGAGTATTTTTTCTTGTCAATGTTTTCAAGAGTTTTGAGTCCGGATCCAACGTGTTTTTTTCCAGTGAAATAACCTTTTGGTGCGTTTGTAAGGAGGCTTCATTTAAGCGGATTTCCTTTTGATTTGAGCTGAAATCTGATTGAATCAAGAGTATTTTTTCTTGACGATGTTTTTAAGAGTCTGGACTCTAGATCCAATGTGTTTTTTTTCCCCAGTGCTTCTACTAATAAGTCGCCCCTATGCGCTCTGCGACACCCAACCGCCACTGACAGCGATCTTGCCCAGAACTCCTCCGGCAGATCGCATCTCCTCATTTCCTGCCATTTTCTTTCAATCCATGATCTAATCGATTCTTGGGCGCAAAGAATCTACAAAAAATCGCAATCCTTACATTGGATAAAAAAAACACATTGGATCTAGAGTCCAGACTCTTAAAACCATCGAAAAGAAAAAATACTCTTGATTCAATCAGATTTAAGCTTAAGTCAAGAACCTAGCTTCTTAATTTGAGCAGATTTCCTTTTGATTTAAGCTTAAATCTGATTGAATCAAGAGTATTTCTTCTTGACGATGTTTTTAAGAGTCTGGACTCTAGATCCAATGTGTTTTTTCCAGTGTAGTACAAGTACCTGCACGGCGGTGGGAGCTGGAGGTCGCTCTCCGGCGGGTCCTTGGTCGTCTCCGTGTCTGAGGCTTCCGGCTCGCTCGAAGCGTCGTTGTTGGTGTCCGACTGCGCGTTCTGGATCGTCCGTATACTCAGCTTCCGCTCCCGCTCCCGGGACGGGATCCCTTTGGGGGTCGGCTCGGTCGCGTCCTGCGAGGCCCTTCTCTTGAGGAACGCTTTGCCCAATTTCAGTCTATCTTTGTGCTCGCCCTGTACACTCCGCCTCGGGAAGCTGATGGAGTGCCGCTTCCTCGGTTTCTCCTGCTCCGAGTCCGTCGCTGACACGGTATCGTCCTCGAGATCGCCCAGTCGGATATCCACCGAGAAGAACCTGTAATCACATATTAATCATAATGTAATTCTTACGTCTATGCGCGATGGCTTTGCAAAAGCGTCATTCGTCTATCTACTAAGTCCCGCGGGCTGATCATTGAAATTGATAGACAAATGACTTTAACAAGATAATAACTTATTATTCACTGGAAAAAAAAACACATTGGATCTAGAGTCCAGACTCTTAAAAACATCGACAAGAAAAAATACTCTTGATTCAATCGGATTTTCGCTTAAATCAAGAACCAAGCCTCTTAATTTGAGCGGATTTCCTTTTGATTCAAGCAAAAATCTGATTGAATCAAGAGTCCGTTTTCTTGTCAATGTTTTCAAGAGTCTGGACTCTAGATCCAATGTGTTTTTTTTCCAGTGTTGTTTCTCCAACTCTATATCCTTTTCCTGATACACATAAACCTATAAATAAAATAAAACAAACTTCCATAACATATCAAATGATTAATCAATTATTTATAGTCCAGCCCATAAGCCTAAACATGGAAATTAAGTAAATTAATATCACTTTTTGGTAACACTGTTTGGTAGACAAAAAAGATATAGGGAGTATGGAGGGATCCTATCGGTTGAGATGGGTGGATGGGATGGATATAGTACGGGAGAAAATGATGGACTAAGGATAGGGTCTCTCGTGGGTTGCCGTTAGTTAGTCAAATGCCTGCCTCTTTTGTCCATTGCAACCACCCGCCTCCACCATTAGAATTCCTCCATATCCCTTTTGTCTTCTTTGTTTATGGCTTTGTCTATCAAGTTCAATCATCAGCCCGCTGAACTGATAAATGTAATAATCGGAAGCTCGCAAGATTTGACGTTCTAAGGCGAATTTCCGCGAGCAGATCTGGTCGAGTTTATTGACCGGATCGACAGGGTCGCAAACCAGAAGCTTTTCCACTTTGCAAGTGGGAGCAGAAAACAGGATCGCCAATGCTCTGTTGAGTGTTGGCGACCGAATTTCTAATGAGTTTTGTTCCCGCGCAATTCGATTTTTCAAAGTGTTATCAATTTAACCTGTACTGTACGGTGCGCTGGTATGTTATCAATGTCAATTATTTGTTTTGCAGCACAATACCTCAGTCGGTAGATTGCCTTAAAACCGTTCCGGAAAAAAAAATGTCAATTTTAGCTTCTTTGACGTTGTTCGGCGGTGGAAACAATAGGAGTTGCGGTTTTATTATGAGTGATTGTGTAGGTAATGGAAACAAGTTTACCGTAGTGTAGTCCAGTGTTACCAGTGCAGTCGGTCAGTTGGCGTGACACGCATATCAGCGCCTGCAAGATTGCACGAATACTTCTCGCATTGCGCTAAACGCAGTGTAGTCGGTCAGTTGGCGTGCCGCGCATATTAGCGCCCACAAGACTGTAGGAATACTTGACGCATCGCGCGCACTGCACAGTGCGTGCTTTAATCGTTGTACGTTCCCGGTGTCAGACCCACCACATCGCGTTGTGGTGGATACAGTATCAAACCAATATTCATCGCGAGCCTCAAAGGATTGTGGAGATTTTCCTGTTTTCCATTATAACTTTCCCACCAGGACCACGTGTCATCATTCTGAGATGTGTTTTTTGTTGTATCAGAGGAGGACGTTGGAGGCCGGGACCCCTTATCACCCAGTCGCCTCGATGGAGAGCACAACAGGCCTTGCACCAAAAAGTCCTCCTCATACTTCATCGGCTACTCACCGTTCGGAAATTTACTCACCGTTCTCAATTTCACTCACTTTTACTCACCATTCTCAATTTCACTCATTTTTACTCACAGTTCTCGATTTTACCCACTGATTACTCATACCAAGCGCGGCGAACATGAATCAGTCAATGATTCTTCAACACTATTCATTCCACCGATAACCCGTACCTCTCCTTGATTCCTCTGGGCTGTCTGCATCCTCTTCCTCTGATTTACTATCACAATGGGCCTGTTGCAAACTTTTGCTAGAGCAGAATGAAGAGTTGTTTCCCATAGATAATGCCTCAAAAATCACGATGAGCGCATCGGCAAAGTCTGAAAGGCACTCATAAATTCACAATCTGCGTAGGAAATTTGCGTTATTTTAAGCTTCCCGCCTCCAAAACGATATTACGGCACAGGTGAACATTTTGTTAGAGGAGTCGCTCCATCGTCGGCAATATTCATCATGGCCGACGCTTGCGCAGTTCCTCGCGTAATTCGAGGAGAACTCAAGGTCAATTAAGGCGGGCGAGGAAAATATGAACGTAAACACGCCGATTGTTATCTGGCTTAATCATGTTCAGGTGTTATCTCGTCCCATCATACGTGTTTCGGTGGACTGGCGTCGGGCATGATGATTATTGCCGACGATGGAACGACTCCTCTTACAAAATGTTCACCTGTACCGTAGTATCGTTTTCGAAGCGGGAAGCTCAAAAAATCGCAAATTTCTTACGCAGATTGTGAAGTTATGAGTGCATTTCAGACTTTGCCGATGCGCTCACCGTGATTTTTGAGGCATTATCTGTAGGAAACAACTCTTAGTTTTGCTCTAGCAAAAGTTTGCAACTGGCCCATTAAATACCATGTGCTTGTACATGGTGCAAATCAAACGATTTCCATTGAATAAACTAAACTAAATCACCGAAAATGAAATAAAGGAGTGAGGTCGGTAAAGTAACATTTACGAAAGTGAGAGCTGTGTCTGTAAAACAAAAAAACTTTAAAGTTATTAATATAATGTAATAATGACTAGAACGAGGAACGTCTAAAAAAAAGTAAGAAAAAGTTTTAACCTCAAAAAGTCAAAAAGTACCGCGAACTCCGCGAAGCGCGTGACGCGGAGAGTTGGCAGTTTCTTTTCATTTGTTACTCACCAATCGTTGAACTATTACTCACGAAATTACCCACCGATCGTCGGATTACTCACGGTATGAGTAATTACCCACGAATCGGCAGCCCTGGAGTGAAGTGGAGAGCCAGGGGCGCTGCTCTTGTACCCTCGGGGAGTGATCGTGTCGGCCAAGCACAGGCGAGCGCGGGACGCGCTGCGCTGGAGAGGCGGTGATTGGCCGCCATAGTTACTCCTCTACAGTTGAGACGGAGTCTTTAAGAACCGTGTGAACTTTGGAATGAGATCCGGGCATGTCTCGCTGGCTTCTTGGAGGAATCGAGTTTTTTTCTCCAGGGTGTTCTGTTGTTTTTCCAGTCCGGCGACGGTGTAAGTTCCAGGTATAGCCTGGCAGGGGCAAGAGAGGTGAGTGCATGGAAGGCAATATCTGATTTTACGTGTATAAAGAGATGAACAAGTGAGGCACAGGTGACAAATTTTAGGGTGAGGGTCGGAATTGCGGTTAAATTGGTAAATGTGTGGGGCGAATGAAAAGATTTCGGGAGGAACTGAATGAAGTTGGAATTAAGGGATGGTGAAGGTTCGAGGTTTCGGGGGATGGATGTGGATGCCTGAGGCCTTGTGATCGTTGAACTGGCCTTCTTGATTTGGACTTGAAGATTGCAATTTTCTGCTGGGCGCAAGCCATACCATATTGTGCCGCAAAGTTCTTGGTGGTTTGAGCCCATCTGCTGCCTGGTTTCGTGTGTTTCCTTGTGCCGGAGGTGGTTTGATGGCTGGTTTTTTGGAGTGTTTCTAGGTTCAGAAAGTTGTTATGTGGCAGCCGCCAGGAAAAAGATGATGGTTCTTGTGTGCTGGATGAAGCGGGCTGTCAGGTGGAATAGCTTGTCGACTGTCACCATGGCTCGTGGGCGACGGATGTGGATGCCTGCATTGGAGTTTAGGCCTTGCGGCCTCTGAACTGGTCCTCTTGCTTTGGGTTCGAAGATCGCGATTTTCTTCGGGTCGCAAGTCATACCGTGTTGTGCCGCGAAGTTCTCAGTGGTTTGGACCCATTTGATGCTTGGCCTGGCGTGATTCCTTGTGCTGGAGGTGGTTTGTTGGTTTGTTCCGTGGCGTATTTCTGGGTCGAAAAAGTTGTTATGTGGCAGCCGCCAGAATTTGTGGACGAGGTCCACACCTTCGGCTCTCACAAGCCTTATGAACCTTACATTGTCTTCAAATTTGCCCTTGCACAGTAAAACTTGTTGCTATGTTGTTGCATATTGCACGGTTGTAAAATTTTATCGGCACTATACACAAATAAGAAAAAAAGAAAAAAAGCATCATCGTGCATAGAAAATAAGTAAGTGATATTAATCGGTTTTTCCAAAAAAGTTTTAAGTTTATGTAGTAATTTTAAAACTTGTTGGGCCATAGCAATCACAATCACGAGAGACGGATACAAAACAAACGAAATCGGTTACCACGAGGGATGACGAGAAACTGCCGGTACGCCAGGGGAATGGTAGGCCTACGGAGGGAGAGAGGAGAGCCCACTAAGGGGTGAAAGGCGGGAGAGAGACACGGCGACAACCAAAAGTCACATAGGCACGTGTCCAGCTCAAGTCACTACGCGCTGAAAATCAGCACGGCCAAAAGTGCTACAGGGGCATTGAGAGGACGGAAAGTTCGTCCGTGCGTCAGGGACCTACTGCAGCTCCGACCGGATCTCAGCAGAAGGATAAAACTCTAGGATGGCCCACGGGCCACCCCTTTCGAAAGATACTTACATTTCTTTAGGAGAAAAACTGACTTCCCGAAGGTAGTCGACTGAGACGAGAAAAACTTCTCTCACTCTTAGAGACTAACTCGAACTAATGGCTGCCCGGAGCATCGGCCAATCAGAGGAAAACATTGCTGTGCCCCGATTGGTCTTCGCCCAGGACAGCTGACGAATTCGCTAATCCCCCCAAAGGCGAGAACTACAAAGCGGTATGGGTAGACCCCATTACAATTCTAGACTCTCTGCTCCGGTTTTCACCATGATTAAAGGGGAAAAGTGTATCTACATTGTAACGATTCATAAACTCTGATCGTATTTTTTTTTTTTTTTTCGTTACTTAAAACGAAAGTAGAACGAATGAAAATATCGCGTCGAAACTCTCGATGCTTTTATTTGAGATCAATTAGGAAAATTCGCGGAAACTTTTCAAAAGAAATGTGTGTAGCTTTTTAAAAACATTAAATTAAAACAAAACATACAAGTGGTCCACATGGGATGTTTACTTTTTGCAGGCAAAGACCCCCTCGGAATGAGCAGGCAAGATGGCTGCGTGGCGCGACGGGAACTCAGAGCAGTTCGAGCACTCTCTAACCAATACCTACTCTAACCCATCCTATCGTCTGCCGTCTCCCCACCTTATCCATCCACATAATCATGTTTCCAATAATGTAAAATGAATCAGTGAGTTCGGAAACACTCCAACACGGGTTTTTTTCGATTTTCACTTTTTTACGGTTTAGTAACACTTATGGATAAGTAGAAGCATCTGCACGCAAAAGGATATTTCGAAATTGCAATCGGAAGTGCTCGAAACGGCGACGGGAAAAGGGAAGAATCGAAAAATTTCATTGGAAATAATACCAATTTTTGGCCGATCAAGGGAAACGGGCGACTATCCGATGCGGTTTTATTTTTTCGGTTCGGTATACCTTCTGCCAACAAGTCATATAAATATTCAAGCGTTCTTCAGGTCAAAAAATATAAATTTTTCAGGGCAGACTATGAAAAATCAGTATCTGAAACTTGGTGCGTTAAAGTCTCTAGAGTACTTCTTGCGTCCTTTGGCACCAAAAAAGTTTTTCTTAAACTAACTTCTTCGCCCGCTGCGAAGTTTTAGGTGTTTCCTGAAATTTTTTTTTTCCGAGTTGGTGTATTTTCGAACTCGCTGATTCAAATGTCATCTTAGGTACCTAATGCTATATTTATGCTCCCATATTTCACCCCTTGATGCCTGACTGGTAAAATTCACCACTTTTTGGATCGTTATGTACTTTTGTAGGTATAAGTTATCAAAAGCAGAAATGTGCAAAGATATTTTTTTAGCAAATTTTTCAAGAAATATGCTAAGTGCCTCGTTACCTTTAACAGGATGTTTCCCAGAAGTTGTACCATTGTGCCACAAAAAAAATTTATAAATTTGTGCGAATGCTGAGTTAAATTTTTAGCTTGATGGTTCATCTTCACATGGAAATATTTTTGGTAGAATTACAAATTCCACAATGAAAGTCTAGCAACACAGCTAACTTAGCAAAAGCCCTCATATTTCTTGAAGTCAGGAGAGGGTAATATTTCTCCCCCCTCCTCCTAACTAGTTCCCCCAATGCTCCTGAAAACATCTCTGCTGAGCGCAAAAATCCTCAAACTCATCCCTCATCATCTGGCATCCCCATGGCTCAGATATAAATGAAGCCCCTCCCCCCCTTATTTTCCATCAAAATTCAAAATGTAAGTAGGTACGTTTAGAATTTGATTTCAAAGCCTCAGAACGCTGCGGGGCCCCCACACAAGCTTGTGATTTCTCCAGATATGCTAAAGATTTTCCCTCCTTAGGTAATCCTTAAATTATATCAGAAAAATGTCCTGCCAAAGAATTTTGAGAATTGCCCTGGTTAGTACTTGGTTTGAACTCTTTTAGAAATTTAATCCCGATCAAAAAGGTCAATTCCCTGAGCTGAGCAGTTTAATTTTTCTCCGAGAGTGAAATTTGTGCTTGGCGCCATTATGTGATGTGCAAAGAGTAGAGGAGAGGAGAGAGCAACAGAGTATAATCATAGAGTCCGAGCGAGCTTCATGCACGCTCCACCAGCTACTCCCGCTCTGTGATCGCCTGCTCATTCGTAGGGGGTCTTTGCCTGCAAAAACGCTCAATCGTCCACATGGTTCAATTGGAGATGAGTACGCTCTCTTCCGAGTGTTGAAACATTTCTGGTTTCGATTCCCCATGGTACTATCAATGAAAGATTCAAAAGTGGACGTCAAAAGTGTATTCAATGCGGGCTCTCATCTCTTAGGTTGGGTCAACTTCGTCCCAGACGAACAGCCACTGCACACGGTTAGCACATCCATTTTCCTGGATTATCAAATTCTCAGGGATTAAGGCCGAGTATAGGATCTGTTTCAGCAGATCAACTCGTTAGTTCCGAGAATTCCCGGGATTCGACCCCAGGACCTATTGAATCTCATTCTTTATTCGGTTTGTCACAAATATAGCACTGGGGGGAACAAAGTCGTTTGGACCTATAGTCCAGACTCTTAAAATTATTGACAAGAAAAAATACTCTTGGTTCACTCCGACTCCTTGTTTGAATCAAAAGGAAATCCGCCTAAATCAAGTGGCTCGGCTCTGCAATTCAAGGAAAAATCGGGTTGATTCAAGAGCACTTTTTCTTGTTAATTTATTAAGAGTCTGGACTCTTAGATGTACGTATGTATGAGCCGCTTTTACGGCGCCTCCAACACCTTCTTCGGCTACCTGGTATCAGCCATTCTCTGCATATGCCCATACCATACCAATTGCTAGATTCTGGACTCTAGATCCAAGCGACTTTTTTTTCCAGTGAACCAACCTTTTGGTACGTTTGTTGGGAGTCTTTTTGGGCTCCTTTGTTGGGAGGTGGTTCTCCTCGCCGACCCCGAAGAGGTCCGTCTCGGCGTAGTCGTCGAGTCCGGAGTCGGACTGGTCCGATTGGGGCTCGTGGGCGTCGCGGCGGTCCAGGTGGTTCTCGTGGGCGTCGCGGCGGTCCAGGTGGTTCTCGTGGAGGCTCCTGACTCGTTTCCGTCTTCCGCTCGGCTTCGTCTCGCCCTCGAAAATCGTCGTCGCTCGCCGCTTCCGGAACCCCGCCTTTCGCCGCACCGCCGCCCCCGCATTCGAGACGTGGTTCCCCGCCGGGACGTTGTTCGAGAGTCTGTCCGCCAGGGAGCGCTCGTCGTCTCGTAGGTCGTGCGAACTCCTGCAATCAAAGAAACCAGAGAGATGGTCACAGGTCAACGATATACATTTTGAGTACTGTTTTCTTACCAAAATTTTCTCCGACGGATATAAATATGGGACAGTTTTTCGACCACATCATTATATTTAATGTATTTATTATTGCTTTACTTTTTTCCAATCACTTTTCTAATTTCCTATGTCGCGAAGTTTTTCGTATCATTGAATATTACCAATTACAAAATTTGTGTATTTGATTTCCTTAGTGTTTTAACAATCATATGCTAATATATGTTAATTGTATGTGATAAAGAAAAGCATTTAGGATCAAATTTAGGAAATCATTCATTGGTGAAGGAAGCAATGGAGTAAATTCACGTATAACAAATGCGTAGCTCCTTCAACGGAGGCTGCAGACTGACTACGTCCAAATGCTGATATTACTTTCCTCGAATCTTTTTGGTAAACGCCCCTCAGCGCATAAGACTTTTTTCGAGGTTTTAAACTTTCCGAAAATTCCGATCGCTCTTTCCTGCGGATTAAAGCAATTTTGAACGCAAGTTCGCATCGTAAATAAAACAATTAGAAAAAAGTTCTGAGGAGAATTATTAGCATAAATACTTGTGACTTTTAAAGAAGTGAGACTGTTGTTGGATAGATCAAAGAATAATAATGACGGTGGTTGGACCCACAAGTCGGGGGAAAAAAAAAAATATGGTAGTGGTTGGATCCACAAACCAAAAAGAAAACGGTAGCGGTTGGATCCACAAACCAAAAAAAGGGAGGACTGTGGTTGGACCCACAAGTCGAGAAAAGAATAAGAGACCGCGGTTGGACCCACAAGTCGGAAAAAAAAATATGGCAGTGGTTGGATCCACAAACCAAAAAAAGGAGGATGTCTGTGTAGAGCGATTCAAAGTATGTTGCCATAGCGTTGGTCGGGATCTGGACACAGATGGGATCAAGCGTAGGAAACGGAGTGGATAGAGAGTTACTCATCATGTTAATAAAACCAAAACCGGATCTACAGCCGTACTAAGGAATAATACCGTATTAACAGTTGAATGGTGCCCGTCTCTTCGGATTTAACCTAAATTGTCCGGGAAGTCAGTGAATTTTCTCCTCAAAAGTGTTTGAAAGTCCATTTCGCAATTTCATCTCTTACGTCGAAAAATTCGCCCAAGAGATGGTCACAAAGCTGGCTCTCTTCCCCGGAGGATGATTGAAGATTTTATTGCTGTTTTTATTGATTGGACGAGTCCTTTATCTTCAATGATTTTCAGATTTTTTAGCGTTTATATGATTTACTGTATTCGATACTGGATGACCTTAGAGTACCTTTATAGACAGAGTATGGCCATTCGTATCTTTTTACTACAGGAAAACTGTTCCGCTTTTTGATTGGTCAACGAGTTTTTAGGCTTCATGATGCTCTTAGGGCCGTAAATAAACAAACAAGATGGCGACTCACCGTAACATCGATAAGAAGCTAAATTTGACAAAATTTCAATTACACGGCAGTAACAATTTAAACTAGCATATCTACGAATAACACACGAAAAAAACACGAAAACTATTGTTAAACCGCCTTACACCTTTATCACAGGAGGATGTAAGATGTGCATAACCTCAATCTTGCTTGCTGATAACAGTCATCTTCTTTGTTTATTTACGGCCCCAAGAGCATCGTGTCAGCCTATTCGCTCGCGACCAATGAAAAACCGGAACAGAAATGGCCATACTCTGTCTATAAAGGTACTCTAGATGACTTGACAAATAGGCCTATGCCCTAATCGTGCGTAGGAGACGTCGTAAAATTTCCAAGAAAACGACCTCTCTCATCGTTCAAAATGTGTTCCTTTATTTGGACCTAGTTCATCAGAAAGGAACCAACCCACATTTTCGAATAAATTGAGATGAAAATATTTTTGAGTTCCTCTAGTTGCATATTTTTTCTGCCAAAAACTAAAAGTCGAAATAAAACATTACTTTGTGGAGATAAGGGGTTAAAGTTTACTTTCCACCTTGAGTCTTATGGAGTAAAATTTCAAACCTCTTTTTCTCAATTTAAACTTTATGTGGGTTGGTTCCTGTCCATTTATAAGCAAATTTGGCAACACTCGATAATTTTTCCGGTGCTTCTCCTCAGCAAAACAGAAGAGTGCAGATATTTTCATGGCTTCCAATTCGACTTGCGATTAATCGTTGGGTTTCGCAGAGGTATATCAGTAAACCCCTCGGATCCACCCCCCGCGCCCGCCGTGTCTAAATTCTACATCGGCGAAAGGTGTCAAGACACGCTGAAATTATGCAAATGTGTCTAATGCATTCATTTATTCTCCCGACCAAGACGTCCATTTTGTGTTTCATTCATCTTCGCATTTTTCGCCGCGGCAGTCAGTTCAATAAAGGTAGTGACGGGAGGAATATTAAAAGGGAGAGCCGGAAAGTGGTTTAAAGGGAAGGGAAGGGAATCCCTGGTGCGGCGCACGGTGGATCGAGTCAATAGGAGAGGTCGGACAAAATTTGGAAACTTTAAACGTTCATAACTCCGTTTATACAAAACTTTGAGATTTTATAAATGGTTCCATTGATTTCCTCGTGAAATTTTCTTCAACATGCACCCCTTAAAATTTGAAATTTGACAAAATAAACATCAAATTTTGTAGTTTTAGTAAAAAATTTCATGTCCGACCTCTCTGATTGACTCGATCCATTGTGCGGCGCTTGAGGAGGGGGATAAAAAACGCGGGTATTGAGGACTAGACGAGTCGGGACGTAAAAGCGACGGAGCTTTCGCCAGTTTAAGAGGATTGCGTAAGAGATCGGTTCGGTGTCGTCATAGAGAGCGTTTTGGAAGAGAGTCGGATTCAAGCCGACTTTTTTTCCCGGGCGCCTTTTCCCCGCTTCCAGCTTTTCGCGCTCTGCCCTAGACAACATTGTTCGGTTAAGAATACCAGGTTGTCTGTGGCATCTCGGGAGCGAGGTAAAAGCTATGACGTAAGACTTGATCTGGAAAAAGCCTTGTCACTTGTGGAATTTCATCGGGGGATGAGTACCAACAAGAACTCTGTTTTGCCGTTCAGTGATCGACAAATGCTGTACCTACTGCTGTGCCAAGTAAGAACGCCGTATGAGCCATCAGGCGTTCGTTGCTAAATTCCCTGTGACTAATTTCAAATTTGCAGGAAAATTTGTGCATATTTCTACTCTGATTTTTCACAAGAACTCGTTTCCAGTTTGCCCTACCAAGTCCGAAAATTTTAAGGAAAATAACCCTAATTTTCTCCAAAAATGAGTATTTTCTAAGAAGAAATTTGGCAACATTCGAATGCTTTTACTGCGTTTTTCACAAGTTTTTGTTTGCAATTTGACTTAAAAAGTCTGAATATGTTATGGAAAAATAATCCTAATTTTCTCCGAGAGTAATATTTTCAAAGAAGAGATTCGACGACGTCCGAATGTCTACAGTGCGTTTTTACCTAGCACGGCAGTATTGTGATCCCGCCCAGGTAGGGCTGGGCCCTACTCGCGCAGGGCCTGCCCCTAAGGGATATGAGGTGAAGCAATTCTAGGGCCCAGCCCTAATCTCGTTTTTTCACTGCAGAACGTTGGACGGAAAAGGAACTGTAGGGACTTGATGTAAAGGCATTGCAACTCGTCAAGCGAGTGGGTAGAAAATAGCTCTAAAGTTTCTAACTTTTATTAGTTTCATTACGTTGCTAAGTCGGTGTGGCCTCCCTTACTCCCCACGAATAAAAAGAAAATAGTCTCCATCGTTCTTGCCAAGTCGTAAAGAATTTCTATTTCTTCATATCAACGGAGGAGTATTAATACATCCGAGTTGCAGTTTCTAAAATAGCCCCAAATTAGCTCAGTGTCGCACCTGTCGATTTTGCGTACGCCTAACTACAACCTACTAAAATCCCTTGGGAGGGTGCCATTCGGATGACAATAAACCGGAGAGCTAGATCTTCTTGCTTTCCCAGATAAACATTTAATGATATAAAAATTCGGGACAGTAAATTTATGGTTTGTCTCATCCTAGCAGTCTTTAGACTCCAGTAGATGGTAGTGTCTACCCTGACGGTTCCGGGATTAGCCATAGAGACATTATAATTTAGAATTGAGTAATTTAAGATAATTTGAACTAATATCGAGCATATCAAGTTTAGTAATTTAGTAGAAATGTAAGATAAAGAATATGCATGAGAAAATTGTGTAATATTTACCTGCACATTATTAATATGTATCAATGCACTTTTAATTATTAAATTTCGGACAAAATTGTGTCCGATTTTGTACCGAGATTGTAAAATTGAATAGATTTATCTTATTTATTTTTCAATAAACTCACCAAAATGCAAACGGGAATAAAATATCAATGTGTTTCAAAGATACATTCTTTATATTTATTTATTCCAATTATATCATTAACACTCTAAATTTGAAGATAATCGATTTTATGATGATCAAAAGGGAGAATTACAAATAGAAAAATATAGAAAATTCAAAATGAATTAATTTAATATAAAGTTACAATTTTTATTATTTACACCTTAATATGTTTAATTTCCTTCCGTCCATACAAATAAATTTTAATTTCCTAAGAAAAGGAAAGAGGAAAATGTTTTAATTAAATAATTATAAACTATAATAGGAATCAATTTACTAATTTTTTACATACAATATAATTCATATTTATAATAAAATCACTCCATACGACATTAATCATATTTATTAAAGGATATGAAAATTTTTATAAAAAAAATTAACTTGAACAATTCAATTTATTCCTCACAAAAATTATTAACATATTCGTCTTGTATTGTAATTACTCTTATTAGTATTTGCTCATAGTAATTTAATTGAAATATTTATACAAGTCAAAACTGAAGGTTCTACATAAAATCGATGAGATTAATTAAAATATAAGGACTAATCCATATTATTTACCCATTGAAAATCTCAAGATAATGCATATTCGTTACAAAATATTTTATTCTTTTCTGAATCATAAAT